GTAATTAATGATTAAATTTACAAATGCTTAGCAAATTTCAGGTATAAATTCTTTCAAATTCTTCATGTCGTACAAGGGGTCTTTCATGATAAATGATGAGCTTTTGATAGAGGGGTTCAAGAAATGCAAGTCTTTGGGTGCCTTGCCTATGGTTCATGCAGAAAATGGTGATGCTGTTTTTGAAGGACAGAAGCGAATGATAGAACTTGGCATCACCGGTCCTGAGGGACATGCTCTTTCAAGACCTCCTCTGGTAATTTCTTAGCATCTATTCAGTATTTACGGACTTTTGAATGCTTTCTCATTAGTTGAAGAGCCTCTTGGACTTCAAATTTCTTTTTTTTTTTCTTTTTTTTTTTTTCTGTTTCTGAGTCGCGGAGGAAATTGCAAATTTTAACCTACTTCTTTCACCTGTTTCTCATTTACTGATCATCTTCCTTCCTGGATTTATTCTGTGCATCAACTTTCTATTTTTGAGGAGTCGAGTTAAATTGTTAAGATCTTTATGAAAGCTAGGAGTTTGTTTTATGGTTCCTCATCATTCCTAGAACATTCTCTACTTCTCCATGAGCTATGGGTTGATATATTTGTGAATAAAAAGTATAACCAGCACATTATAGGTAGTGGTTACAAATATCATTGGGATTCTTTCTCTGAAGTAAAATGAAGTTTGTTTTTCGATTTGTCATGACTTTCACGGCCATTCAGCTTGAAGGAGAGGCAACAGCTCGAGCTATTCGACTAGCGCGTTTTGTAAACACACCTCTATACGTGGTTCATGTGATGAGCATTGATGCCATGGAAGAAGTAGCCAAAGCTCGAAAATCAGGTTCACAGCTTATGGTTATTTTGAGGATCAGGTGTTGTCAATTGTTACATTCCTCTTATATTGACTACTTATTGTCTCTCTTCTTGGTTACAGGGCAAAGAGTCATCGGCGAGCCTGTGGTTTCTGGATTAATCCTGAACGATTCTGTGCTTTGGGATCCTGACTTCTCCATTGCATCGAAGCAAGTACCTCTTGTTATCTTCTTTATTTTGTTTCGTCAAACTACCAGTTTTATTCACTTGTTCTTTGTTCTGTATTTTTTTTTTTTTTGGGGATCAGATATGTCATGAGTCCTCCTATTAGGGCAGCTGGTCATGCTAAGGCGCTTCAGGGTGCTCTTTCATCTGGAGTCCTTCAGGTTTCTTCCATTGCTAGAGAAAATTTGATGTTGATTCCGTGAAAAAAAAATATGCCGTTTAGGAACATGTTGACTCGAAATTTCACAAAAAAAATTCCAATTGAGCATCTAGACTATTTTGTTGGTTATTCTATAGTTTGGATGATTCTCATCCTATTGAAGACATCTGTTCATTCTAGGCATTCATGTATAAACATAAAATGATGAACATTGTAATTTACCATGTTGCAGCTAGTCGGAACCGATCACTGTACATTTAGTTCAACACAAAAGGCTTTCGGAATTGATGATTTCCGAAAAATTCCAAATGGTGTTAATGGTAAGCATAAGATTGACACTTTCTATTTTTCCAACAGTGGTCAAATTTGATTGAATAATTCAAATATGAATTTCTTGCTGTTATCTCATCCTTAGGACTTGAGGAGAGGATGCATCTAGTCTGGGATACTATGGTGGTAAGCTGCCAAAGATTGTAGCATCCATGAATATAATTTTGCTTAAGAAAAGCTCATAGGTTTCAATTTTGTTTGATTGTGCCTTTGTTTATTCAGGAATCTGGGCAGATATCAGCCAGAGATTATGTTAGGATAACAAGCACAGAATGGTATATTTCTTGACGCTTAAACTTATGGTTCCTAATTTATCCGTTCATTCTTGATAAGTTTCTTTGTGCAGTGCGAAAATCTTTAACATATACCCGAGAAAAGGAGCAATACTCCCAGGATCTGATGCAGACATCATAATACTCAATCCTAATGCAAGTTTCACAATTTCAGCAAAACTACATCAATATAGGACTGACACAAATGTCTATGAGGGGGTAACGGGAAAGGTAATCCGCTGCTAATTCTTCTATCTTTATGTTTTATGCTTTCTATACTATTGTACGGATATTGAGAATCAATTGATCTTTTTATTGCTTCGGCTGTCCCTCTGTTTGCCACTATTTTATTTGTCTACCCCAATTCAATAGTCTATCATCTGGATCTAGTGAGTTAAAATTTGAACTTCCCATACTACACTAAATGATACACATCTCCAAAAGTTTAAACAAAGACTATATTGGTATAGTGATGTAAAAGTGAACCTCATTGAAATATGGACTGTTATATAGGGATGGAGGAAGTGCTATCTATAAAACCTTGCATTTTGCTGAGCCTTTCCTGTTATGTTTGCGTATTTTTCCAGGGAAAGGTTGAAGTGACTATTGCGGGAGGAAAGATTGTCTGGCAGAATGGGGAGCTGAAAGCCTTTCCAGGTTCTGGAAAATATGTAGAGATGCGTCCTTTCAGTTATGTTTTCGACGGTATTGAAAAGGCAGATAGCAATTACCTCTCTTCTCTCCAAGCTCCGGTAAAACGATCCAGATCTTCAACTTAAAACTGCAAATACTTTGTACAGAAAGTTTCGTCTTTATATTACTTACATCAGTTACATGAACTGAATTGAGCATGAACAATACACGTCATTGTTGAATTTTTTGGATAATACAGGGGAGAAAAGGTTCCTGTGGTGTGACACAAACTGCATATGCATTTTAATTTTTCTGAATCTATCTAAATAAACAAAATTTAGTTAGACTAAAATGGCCCAAGCCTTAATTTCAGTCGCATAAATAAATTTTTTACTGATTCATATACCAGATGTCTGCATTTAATCACCTTATTGTAGCTATGATTTTACATGAATTTGACAATAATTGCAGCAGGGATTCTTCTTCTTAGTAAGGCATTATGCAACAGTACGCCATAATTTTGTTTTTCTTCTGCAAAAAAAGAGAGTTCCAAATATTAGATTGGGAAATGCAATTTACAGTTGTGATCAAGTGTGTTATTTTTTACACCATCTTTTGCTAGGGTTGTAATTGATTTTTGTTTTGATCCAAGGACACTGAGATAGGGTGTATGGATCAATATCAAGATCAAGTATAAATCCTTTTTCTCTAATAGCTGATCATGGGTCGGGTCAGGGCAGGCTCCTAAACGGCCAGCTGGTTTTTGAGCCCAGCCAGAATTTGAGCTTGAAAACAGTGGCCAAGCCCTGTAAAATCAGGCTTGGCTGAGCTTAGTTGATCAGCTTACTACCCAACCAGCCAACCCTATGTCAGTAATGTTACTGCTGCTGCAGCATTAAAATTTCTGTGAAACCTGCACAATTTATATGTTTGGATGAAAGAGTTACCATGGATGTAGAATCATCTTGGTGTGTATTTTGGTGATCGTGGTGGTGATGGACATGAAGATTTGGTGGAGCTGTAAAGATCGGTTCATTTTTTAGGCCCACATGCTTAACATCCATCTTGGCTTGTTTTCGGTGAGCTCGTGCTTGGCCAAATACCATGGAATAATTTGGACTTATCTCCCCTTTTTGATCCCAGGCTCCGAACTGAGGGACTGATTTCCACTCCTTTTCCTGCATGTTTCATTTGTTTAGTTAGTGGAAAAAAATTGAAGATAATGTAATAAGGTGTATTGTAAATTTGCAATGCATCATAATTCATCTTGTATAATATGTCATTAATTAGTTACTTGGGACTTTGTAATGGTTAATACTTAATACCTCCTTAAACCATGAAATGCCATGAAATTCAGATTAACCGTTACAAACAGAACAATCATCTATTGCTTATATCATGACACATGAAGCATAAGTTTATTTTCTTGCATCATGCATGCATCATGCAACCTAGAGATGGATGATATATCTTGACATTCGAGATAATTATGTATGGTACAACCTGACCGGGCAGACTTACACCTGATTTGTGTTTCCAATATACCAGTCGGGTGTACAGCCTGAGTAACATTTTCCAGCCATTTTTACATGGAATCATTCTGATTTTGTTTGGTTCGGGCTAACATTTTCTACTCTGAAATTGGCATGGCATATGCATACTCGATTCTACAACCCGTCACATGGTTAGCTCTACATGACATATTCAACCATTCAGCTATAATAGAGTTGCCAGACATCACAGGAATAGACAGACAAACAGTTTCATAAACATAATACGCGAAGATCAGGAAAATTAAAGAACTAAATAGAAGGAATGCAAAGAAGAGGAAGAATGATGCAAAATATGTTGGTATCTTGTATATTTGTTGATGGAATTTACTTACTTTACCACGGCCTTCCATGGCAAAGTGGCGAAGAAGAAGAAGAAGAAGAAGAAGAAGAAGAAGAAGAAGAATCTGTACATTGGTTTCATGTCATCAATGATATTGGAAATCTTTCTGTCTAAATTTGGTGATGATGATCTGTGTTTGCTTGACAAGCGGGAATATCTTTTTCCTTTTTTGAGCTTTTCTATTGTTGCTTCCGTAAGGACTGGTTATATAATTACCCCAAAATTGTAGGATTTACCGCCGATGTTCCTTAATGTAGTCTTATTTAATTTTTCTTTACCACGTTCAATGCATATCTGTTATTAGTTATATCTTTAATTATGTACAACAATTGATTATTACACGAGTATATATACTATGTATATTCAACGAATAATCATGGCCAAATTTTCTCTTTATTAAATGGAATAAACAAAGAGAAGAAATTCTAACTAAGCTTTATTGGTTTTTTATATATATGGATTGTACGACAAATTTCATTATCATGCGTACATTACAAATTTTTTCTCGTTTTAGATACCTCCAAATAAGCCTAATGACATAAATGTACATAATCGACATCTTACAAAATTAGGAAATATAGAAATTCGAAAATTTTAAAATACTAAGGAATTTTTATGAATTTGCAACACAACTTGTGAATTTAAATTCAAACTAATTACGGGGTACCAAAAAAATCTAATATCTCATTAGCGAATTGTTCGTGCATGAGCTTCACACTTACGATAAATTGACACGAGCTAGGCATATCACTTTTTTTCTTTGCTTGTTCTATAGCACAACACAGTTAAGCACGAGATTTGTTGGCACAACACGCGAGCTTATCCAGCCCGACTCGACCTAGCCGATCTGTGGCCAACTCTTGTGTAGCTAACTGCCTAACTAGCTATACTTGCGCTTTGAGTACATCTCAAACTCTTCTTCTCACTCTTAGTTTTTATATATACAGTGGCTGGATTGTTCTTTTGGTTTTTTTAACAAGAAGAGATGTCAATTACCCGCGTATCTCAATTCAACAAATTAGCGCAATCACGCAACTCTCAAATACACCTCAAATTTTCAACAATTTCAAAGGGAAAAACCCAATCAAAATCTCCAAATACCCAGAAACCTGGACATAAGAAGCAAGCATTATTGAAAAAAGATGATCATGATTCTTTGTTTAGTGAAATTACTGAGATATTGGGAACTGGAAATCTTGCTCTCAGTAAAATTCCATCTGGGGTTTCTGTCCCTGTTGCAATGACTCTAGATTTTTCTGGAAATGGGAATTGCACACAAGGTGTTTGTGAAAATGCCCAAGAGAAAATTGAGGGTGAAAGTGAAGAAGTGTTTGTTAGTAGAGATAAAGCAGGAAACTTGACTGGAATTGATGATAACCGTTTTGTTGTACAGAAGATAACAGAGATTGTAAGGCAGGCTGATGCTGACGGTTGGATGATTCGGGCTGTGAATTTAGTTCCGATGTCGTTGTAAACGTGTTAAAGAGGTGCTTTAAAGTCCCACATTTGGCTAACAGGTTTTTCAGTTGGGTGAAGTTGAAGAATGGGAGTTGGCTTACAACTGAAAGTTACAACACTATGTTGTATCTAGCAGGGGAAGCTAAAGAGTTCGAATTAGTTCAGAGGTTGGTTGAGGAAATGGATAATTTTGGTTGTGAGAAAGACATTAGGACTTGGACCATCCAATTAATGCATTATGGAAAGGCAAAGTTGGTTGGGAAGGCCTTGCTGATCTTTGAAAAAATGAAGAAATTGGGTTTTGAACCTGATGCTGAAGCTTACGGATGTTTGATTCGCGTACTTTGTCAATCTAGGAAAGGTGAAATTGCGTTGGAGTTTTACAAAGAGATGGTCCAAAAGGATTATAGGCCTGATATTAGACAGTATACAATGCTGCTCAATTGTCTTGCTGGTTGTGGAGATATCGATGGAGTTTACTTAGTTGCAAATGACATGATTAGTATCTCTCAGATTCCCGATCAGAATGTTTATGTCTTTGTCTTAAAGAGCTTCTGTATGTCAGAACGCATAAGAGAAGCTTTAGAGTTGATTCGTGATCTTAAGACTAAAAATTTGACGTTAAGCTCTGAGTATTTTGAAATCCTGGTGAAGGGACTTTGTAAGGCTCGTAGGATGGATGATGCTTTGGAGATTGTTGATATTATGAAGAAAAGAAATGTTGTTAATGAGGTGGTTTATGAAGCTTTGATTAATGGGTACTTGAGAAAAAATGACTTTGCTAGGGCTTTAGATATGTTTCAGGGGATGAAGGATGCTGGTATTACACCCTTGACTTCAACTTACACAATGTTGATGCAGCATTTCTTTAGCTTGAACGAATATGAGAAGGGTTGTGCTCTTTATAATGAGATGCTGGATAGAGGCGTGAAGCTGGATTCTGTGGCTTACACAGCTATAATTGCAGGTCATGTACGCAATGACTCTATTTCTGCTTCTTGGAAACTATTCAAAAGTATGGAGGAGGAAGGAATTAAAGCCACACAAAAATGTTACTTAGTAATCATCAAGGAGCTCTGTAGGAATTCAAAGACTGATGAAATGATCAAGGTTTTGTATCAAATGCAGGATAATAAAAATAAGATTAGTAAGGAAATTTCCTATTGCGTCATATCTTATTTGGAGGGGAAAAGGGAGACTAAGAAAGCAGAAGAGGTGAAGAAGATGCTAAAATGTTGGGGGATTACTATGAAGCAGTTGAACCATCTGAAAAAGATGAGTTTTCTAAGACGAAGGTGCATAATCTGGAGTCGAACAATATTGAGCAAAATGGGGATTCTCTGTTGTTAGAGCCTTTACCACGATCTTTCAATAGCGAAGATCTGCATAAAATCTGTGCCATTTTGTCATCACCAAAGGGTTGGTATGATATGCAAAAAGCTTTGGAGGAGTTCCAAATTTGTTATACACCAGATCTTGTGACTGAGATCCTACGCATTTGCAGTCAATATGGTTATGCTGCCCTACAATTTTTCTCATGGGTTCGAAATCAGCCTGGTTACAGACACACAACAGGATCTTACAATGTGGCAATGAAAATAGCTGGTAAAGGAAAAGATTTTAAACACATGAGAAATCTTTTCTTTGAAATGCAAAGAAACGGTTGCTTGGTAACACCTGATACATGGACAATCATGATATTGCTATATGGTCGAGTGGGCCTGACTAATATTGCATTAATGAACTTCAATGATATGAAAGCCAGTGGTTTGAAGCCAACAGCAAGTACATACAAGTACTTGCTTTTGTCACTCTGTGGGAGAAAGGGTAGGAAGTTGGACGAAGCCATCAACCTGTTTAAGGAGATGATTAACACAGGGTTAGTTCCGGATAAAGAATTGGTTGAAGTATGCTTCAATTGTTTTTGTCAATCAGGTAAATTGGAAGATGCGAAGAAGTGTCTGGAATATATCCAAAAGGTTGGTTATACTAAGCCTCTGAGCTATTCCTTGCTTATCAAGGCGCTTTTTCGGTGTGGGAAAGTAGAAGAAGCTTTACCTCTAGCAAATGATGTCAAAGAAGAGCGCTCTACACTTGACCGTTACATCTATGGGAGCCTAGTTCATGGTCTCTTACAAAGCGGACAGTTAGACAAGGCATTGGCTAAAATAGAATCGATGAAACAGGTTGGCGTTCTTCCAACAGTTCATGTTTACACATCATTAATTGTACATTTCTGCAAGGAAAAGCAGATGGAAAGAGCATTGGATATTTTTAAGACAATGTGGCAAGAAGGCTGCTATCCTACCGTCGTTACATATACAGCATTGATACATGGGTATATCAACTCACAAAATTTTGAGGATGCTCAAAAATTGTTCCTTCGTATGAGACTAAAAGGACCGCTTCCAGATTTCAAAGCATACTCTATGTTGATTGCGAGTTATTGTGAGATGGAAAAGTCTGAAGTTGCAATGCAGTTGTTATCTGAAATGTTGGATGATGGTATTGTACCTAGCACTGTTAATTTTCGGACTGTATTTTTTGGGCTGAATAGAGAGAGTAAGCAACATTTGGCACAGAGAATTATGCAACTAAAGCATGCCGTTGCAAATAAACGTAAATTCTCAACATAGTTGTGCCTGAAGGATGATGCAGCTTTGTTGATATTTCCTTGTTGTAATTGGACTCCTAAATTGTACGGAGTATGTTACATGGACGGCATCAATTTCAATGCTAATGAGCGAGCTATACAATTCTTTTTTTCACTCCATTGTGATGTCTTCTATGTTATGAAGTAACTCGGTCTTTAATTTTTAATGCATATGGCATATCCCAATCGCACCATAAATGAGAATTGAATCTTCAGATGATGTATTTTTGTTTATCTAAACAAGGCAATTCTCTTCTTCCCTCTTTTGACTGTTATGACCACTTTCAAAAACATTTATCCAAGAGGGCAATTGGTGAATGATGATAGAGGCCATAATAACCACCAAAACCCGCAACAATCTTTCGAAGTGGTTCTTTTAGTCTTACGGTTACAGTAATCCTTATTCACTTAAAGATATCTCGTATCAACTTGATCATTGTACATTGCAGCAATTAATACCTAATATGTTAATTATACTTTCAAGGTCAAATCATATTAAAATATCATAATCATCAAACACCGTCTTAAATGAGACTTAGCTCGAGTTCAAATAAAGTGTTGCGATTCGAACCCAAGCTACCCTAGCTCAGTCTCCCCTCGGCTAGTTAACACCCCTAATTACACCCCTTTTCACCTGTTCTTCCTCTATTGCATCCCAAGACAACAAAAGAAGAAAACCATCAAAATTTGAGCAGCAGAAAACGCAGACGAAATGTTGAGCAGGGTATCTTACTCTCATCATCATCATCTACCCTCCTTCGCATTCTCATCATCTTCCTCATTTCCCTTTTCTGCGTTTAGACCTTCTTTCAATTTACTCCCGAAATTTTCACTCTCCACCTCAAAACACCCTCGAAAGTTTCAAATTGAAAACATCCGATTCTTTACTTCTTCAACTTTCACCAGTAAATTCAGTTTTTCTAGGCCTTTTGATCGTAATTCCTACAAACCCAGTTCGAGTATTAGTGTTTCTTCAATTTCTGGAATTTTCAGTTCATCCCCAACTATGCTGGGTCGTCCTTCTTTCAAAGGTATAATCTTTGTTCTTCATTTAAATTTTTATTATGCTTTATAATTGTCCATTTATTTTTATTTTTCAGGGTCTTAATCATCAGTTTAATTCGATTATTTTCTATTGCTGTTATACTTAATAAATTCCTGTGTTCTCAAGTTCTGAAAATGGGCTAGTTGAAAATCTATATTTAATTAACAATTTTAGGTTTTTTCTTATACATTGTATCATTTTAAATAATTATTTAAGTTGTAGATTTTAGTAGTTGGGTTCATTTTTAGGATACCCAGATTGTCTGTACATTGAGAACTACATTCCTTCCCTAATGGCAATGTGATAATATAATGTGTCCATATTTCTTCTGCTTGTACTGTTATACTTGAGTGTTTTATAGTGAATTGTTACATCAGACCTTTACTGCTGAGGTATAGGTTCTTCGGAGGGGGAAATTGCCACATAGGCGAATTGGTATCGTATATGACAGAATTACAGAAGCCTGTGTCTATTGTTACAATGCTATCTACAATATTTTGGCAACAAGATTAAGGCAATAATCTGTTTGAGGAGTCGGTCTACACCATTTTATATAATTTTGCTTCTTTATGGTTTGAATTGAAGTGTCAATGTCCATCTCATATCCATATCTGAGTATTGAGTATTGAGTATCCAACATTAATACTTGAAGCGATACTAGTAATGATGAAGATAAATGTTGTTGATGAAGTTACATATTATTTTTTGGATCCTGCTTTTGATTCACTGTCTAGTTTAAGTGATAGAATGTGAATTGATTTGATGATGATGATTTTGAATGCATTTAACAGCATTTACAACTGGAAGTAGCTCTGGAGGTGATAGGGAAATATTGGTGCAGCACTTGCTTGTCAAAGAAAATGACCTTAACCTTTTAGTGGAACTTCAAAAAAGGGTCGCAGGAGGTATGCTTTTGCTGAAATTGTTATCAAGTGATTGTGTATGTGGATATGATCGATGGGTTTATGCTAATTTCTGTTGTTGAATGCCAGGAGAGGATTTAAGTGATCTTGCTGTGGAGTACTCTATTTGCCCGTCAAAAGAAGAGGGCGGAGTGCTTGGTTGGGTCAGAAAAGGACAAATGGTATGCTGATTGTTTAGGCACTTGTTTCCTGCAAAGTTATCAGATAAGTTGTTGTTATGGGTATATTGCTCAAGAAATTTGACCCCTATATTATCAGTTTATAATTGTTCTTCACCTCCCTAATACCCTATGTTGTTCAGAAGCAATTGATACTTTTCTGTATACAGAAAACTTGTCATGTTTCCAAATGATATATTTGGAAAAAGCTTTTTATGTTTCCGAATGTTTTTGTTAGGAGAAAGCTATTTATGTTTCCGAATGAAAGCTGATTTGAATCATCCTCCTCTTTCTAGGTACCAGAATTTGAAGAGGCTGCATTTTCTGCACCATTAAACAAAGTTGTAAGATGTAAAACAAAGTTTGGATGGCACTTGCTGCAAGTTGTATCCGAGAGGTTAGTTCATCAAAGATATTACCTTTTATTAAGCTCTGTAAAGTTACTGATTTACTTTCTTGATTCTGTACCTTTTTATATGCAATTACTTTAGGGAAGGATCGTTGCTTGGTGAAGTTCAACCATGTGAGTTGCATGAGAGATTGCAAGATCCCAACTTCACAGAAACAGTACAGCTGATCGATGTTCGAGAGCCAGAAGAAGTGTATGTCTTTTTTCTGCTTCTCTTTTTGATGGGTTTATGTATTACAGTTTGATCAATATCTCTTGCTCCCTGGATTGTTTTTCCATTATAAACTTATCCAATAAACTTCGTCATAGACAATGCTTTGGTTTTATACGATTATGAGTTTATGATGCTAGTGACACACAAAGGTATCTATACTTTGTCACTGAAAAATGTGAGGCAGTCGTGTGTTGAAATTTAAAGTTGAGCTTGTGGTTTGAAACCTCTTTTCAGGAGTTGGGGTTATGGGAATCTTGAGTTGAACTTGTACGTTCAGAAAATAGATCTAGTCACAAAGTAAAACTGTTTTCAGGAATGGTTTTGTCTATCAGGATGGTTGTAGTTTATGAACGGGATCCCTAGTCTATGTCATTAAGGATCTTAGGACAAAGTAGCTTTCTGAAAGCCAATATTTTTTTATTCACTCAAGGTAACAGAGGAAGATATACTATTAACACAGCAAATTTTTGGCATGTTAAGGGGATCATCACAGTCATCTTGCTGTTTAGGACTGTATAAATGCTTAGTGTTCTAAATTATCTGCTAATTGCCGTTTTGAGAAGTATGAGAACTTTGACATCTTTGAAGTAAAATCCTTAGCTTCCATTTACTTGAAAAACTAATACTTCGTGCTAAATAATATCACCTTTGTTCCTTCAAAATTCACTCTTTCACCTACTATTGGATGCTTGTATCATTGTATGCACTGATCTGTTCTTTAGACTTTTGAATTGACAACTTTGATACAATGGGTGCAGTTCCAAAGCATCTTTACCAAGTTTTCAGGCTCTTCCTCTTCAACAATTTGGAACCTGGGGACCCGAGATTACAACCAAGTTTGATCCTAACAAAGATACTTATGTTATGGTTAGTAGTCTATTTCATTCACAAGTACTGTCTTAAATTTAAATTCTGTCTGCGTCTAATGCACTAACACTTGTAAATTGGATCCAGTGTCATCATGGGATGCGATCACTGCAAGTTGCCAGATGGTTGCAGTCACAGGTAAACTCCTCTTTAATTAGTTTTATATAGTATATGCTATTCCCTTTATTTTGTCTTATCTACCTACTTTACGGGAGTTATTATTTTAATTCTATATTTTTGTCACTTATAATATCAAAGTTTCATTACTTATCTGTTTAAACTTTAAGATATCAATGCAATGGTTTCAAATTGATGAAAATAACTCACAACTTTAGTATTATAAGGCACTCATTTTGGAACGGAAGGTGTATATTTGATAGGCTAATTTTATGTGATTCTCGATTGATGCTGCGGTTTAATTCTGATAGTCTTTAAGAATGTCGCGGCCTATGCTTGTTTTCCTCTTGTTAACTTGTTGGTTTAGTGAAATTGGTGCTTGTACTCTCAACTACCATCTTTTTTGTTTTGCCATGGTCTTTTGGGCTTTTTTTAAATTGATTACGGAGTCATATCTAAGTGAGATTTGAGTTTAAGTAGGTATGAGGATTACTGGATCGTTTCCTTTTTACTCATGTTTGTATCTTTAATTGTAAAGCTATCGAAAAGTTTAAATTAATGTATTCATTCTTTGCTGATATGAATATCTCTTGTTCAGGGCTTCAAGAGAGTGTTCAATGTAGCTGGAGGTATTCATTCTTACGCTGTGAATGTCGATCCTTCAATTCCAACCTATTAGGAAACTATAAGAGGTAGCAGTAGCACAACCAAAGAAACCGCGAATTTTGTTTTGGTCTTCCATGTCCTTTTCCCCTTACCATCAAGAGTTTCCAAAATATGCGCATAGTTTGTTTATTTGTGAACTCCTTACTTTGATAGAATTGTAATGTCACTGAATTTAATCATTTTTTTTTTTGAATAATTTGGAAAATCTACAAGTATAAATAGTAATTTCTTTTTTTTTTTTTTTTATGATTCAAATGATTATAAACTGTCCAATAATTCGCGGTAGTTAATTACAGAGTATTTATTTGGGTACAAAACTATGTATGTTCCTAAAATAGAGAAAAGAAATAAAATGAGTAAAATAAAAACTTAAAGATTACATAGATGTTGATATCTGAAAAAACAAACATGAAAAAAACAGTTAGATTCCCGCGAAATCCTCTTCAACCAAAATTTAAGGGGCTTTTTTCTGAAAAAAATAAAAATTTGCTTATTTTCTCCTACAATTCCTCAGCATCAAACCCTTCATTCTTCCCTGTAAAATTTCCTTGAATCCAACCTGTATCTTCCCTTTTTCTTTCACTGCGCTTTCTCTCTCCTCTTCCGTCCTCTAATCTTTCGACGTCTCCCTTCAAAAAACCCAGTTTTCCTTTAATTCTCTTACCCCCTCCCCCCAAAGAAAAGATTAGGAAAGAAAAGCAACCCCCCATCTTATTCCTAAGCATCCGATATTCCTCTGTTTTCCCCTGCCTTTCTCCCATGGGCAATTGTTGCCCTCGAGGCAACACAGCCCCTACCGAACCCTTGGATAATCAAAAGGGTGTCATTTCCACCTCCGGCAACAACAATGCTGCTAATAACCATAGCCCCCATAAGACGGAGGCTTCCACTAAGCCATCTGTTCCTACATCTTCCTACAACAAGCACTCCAAGCCTACCCAAGTCGGGCCTGTCTTAGGCCGGCCTATGGAGGATGTCAAGTCCACGTATAGCTTTGGTAAGGAGCTAGGCCGAGGGCAATTTGGGGTGACCCATTTGATTACCCACAGGCAAACGGGTGAGCAATTTGCATGCAAGACCATTGCCAAGAGAAAGCTGGTGAATAAGGAGGATATTGATGATGTTAGGAGAGAAGTTCAGATCATGCATCACCTAACAGGTCAGCCCAACATTGTGGAGCTTAAAGGCGCGTATGAGGACAAGCATTCGGTGCATTTGGTGATGGAGCTTTGTGCCGGTGGGGAGCTGTTTGATCGCATTATTGCCAAAGGTCACTTCACTGAACGTGCTGCTGCTTCGTTGCTTAGGACCATCGTTCAAATCGTGCATACTTGCCATTCTATGGGTGTCATTCATCGTGATCTCAAACCCGAGAATTTCCTCCTTTTGAATAAGGATGAGAATTCCCCCCTCAAGGCCACAGATTTCGGTCTTTCTGTCTTTTACAAGTCAGGTAAATGGATCTTGATGATCATCCCTTTGCTCCATCTAGAAAGATAACAATGACTACACAAATGTTTCTACATTTTTTTCTTGCATTATCTTGTGTTTTCGACAGGTGATACATTCAAAGACATTGTTGGGAGCGCGTACTACATTGCACCAGAAGTATTGAAGCGAAAATATGGGCCAGAAGTTGATATATGGAGTGTTGGGGTCATGTTATACATTTTATTATGTGGTGTTCCTCCCTTCTGGGCTGGTAATTATACCAATATATTTTCTTTTATTTACCCCTTTTTTATGTGCCATTAGAAGAATGAATTGAAATGTGAATATTATGCTTTTACTAGAAACCGAACATGGTATATTCAATGCTATCTTAAGGGCTCATATCGACTTCACAACTGATCCATGGCCATCAATTTCATCTCAAGCAAAAGATCTTGTTAGAAGGATGTTGAATGCTGATCCTAAACAAAGGCTTACAGCTTATCAAGTTCTCAGTAAGTTGCTAGGAAATTGTCTTTTTGTAATTTCTTAAAATTGATCTCTTCATATATTAGTTGCCTTGCACTATTTAGTTTCCCATAGGATTTTACATATTCCTGACAAATTTTGGGTTTAACTTTGTTAGATCATCCGTGGATTAAGGAGGATGGAGAAGCTCCTGATACTCCTCTTGACAACGCGGTCCTTGATAGGTTGAAACAGTTCAGAGCAATGAACAAGTTCAAGAAAGTTGCTCTAAGGGTCAGTACATTTTCCTGAATATCTTGGTTTTTGCATGATGAAAAAAAAAACACACAGAGATATTTCAGATTTCCATTGTCAATTTCCAAATACAAGGAAGAACAGTGTAGTTCTATAAATTTTAAAATGAAAATGTAGCTCATAGTTCTTGAGAAATCATAGGGACTGAAAAAGATGTGTAATGATATAGGTTATTGCTGGATGTTTATCGGAGGAAGAAATCATGGGACTTAAAGAGATGTTTAAGAGCATGGATGCTGATAACAGCGGGAGTATAACTCTTGAAGAGCTAAAGCAAGGCATGCAAAAGCAAGGGACTAAGCTATCCGAGTATGAGGTCAAGCAGTTGATGGAAGCTGTGAGTATTTTTTTGCTCTAAACTCCTGCATATACTAACTTTCTTTTTAAAAATGAGGAAATGACTTAATGTTCAATAAAACAACAGGCGGATGCAGATGGAAATGGAACTATAGACTATGAGGAGTTTATCACCGCGACAATGCACATGAACAGAATGGACAGAGAAGAGCACTTGTATACCGCGTTCCAGTACTTTGACAAAGACAACAGTGGGTAATGATATAAAATTTGACAACATTGTTAGGCCTTGTTCTTAGATTATTGACAGCAAATAGCAGCTAATGTATTCATGATCGTTTTGAAAGGAAATTTGGTCATGCTTACAAGAAGTGATACGATATTTTCTTATAATTTTTTCGTTATAACAGGTACATCACAATGGAAGAGCTGGAGCAAGCTCTGCAAGAGTTTGGCATGCATGATGGAAGGGACATTAAGGAAATAGTTTCTGAAGTGGATAGTGATAATGTAAGTAAAATAGTAAGATCATCAATTATTTTTTTCTGTTGGAATGTATAAATTAGTCTAACAAACGGTGTTCTTTTTGTGTAGGATGGTCGAATAAACTACGATGAATTTGTGGCTATGATGAGGAAAGGAAATCCCGAGGCAGGAAATCTGAAGAAGAGACGCAGTATGGCAATTTAAGCGTTGGAGGCTATTAGTGATTGAGCTGCTCAACAAGCATCATTACATGTACAAAAACCTTCTGAGAAGTTGGTGTTTGTATAAAACTATAAATGCTTACTGTGTATTGAATGTCTGAGCCAAAGAATGGAGGGGTAGGGGGGCTAAAAACAAGAAGCAGAAAAGCTCGTGGGCTGTCTTGTGGCTCGTCGGGGTGGTGTTGGGGTGCTGCTTTTTTTTCTTTATTCATTCCTTTTCTTGTTTTTGGGTCTTATCTTTAATCTTGTCCTGCGCAAAGTGTATATTAGTGCAATCTAACTCTTTTGTAAGTAATGCTTAGGACTGGCTTCCTTTGTTCTTTATTGTTGTTGTAATTGATTCATTATGATGTACCATTTGCTTAATTGCTTCAAAGTTCTAACTCTGAAAACAAAAGGTTCGAAATTACATTGTTGTCAACAAGATTCCAATGATTTGAATGTATGCGGCCTATCCTATTTCAATTAATAAGACGTTGATACTAGCAAACGCAATGTAATAAAAGTATCAATATGATGGCATCATCTTTTTTCTTTTCTTTTGACGGGTAAGAATAATATCATTAATGATTAGGATGACACGTATGGTGACACCAACGTTAACAAATTGAAACATAATTGACATTTTAGCAAGAATGTGATACATTACAATTTTCCATAGGGTGGCAATTTGCTCACCTCTATACCTTGCCCTACTTTCCATAGAAAATTTTTAATAATAATTTAGGTATCAAGGATGGGCTGAAAAGTAGGCAAGAAGGCCCACTAGAGGGGCATTAATGTATGTAGTGGGCTCGGACTCTTGAAAGTAAGGCCTGGAATCTGGAAAGGCATCTGTGACATTAGGCCCACCAACAACTGCTCCAACAAGCTTATTTGGGTTAGGGTTTGGGCTGAGGAAGTATCGAGAGCCCTCTTTACAGCCGATGTGGGCCGGATGAACATGGACTGATGGAAGAGAACTGCCCCTGTGATGTATCCTTTGTGGATATCGTGGCCCGTAGCCCACCATGTATGACATCCTTATTGGATTATCCCCTAGTATGTAATCCACCTGCCAATTCATTCATTACCAGTTTACCACACAAGAAAACAATCCGTTAATGTTCATAAAGAAAATGTCACGTTTTCTAAAACAGTAATGGTTTGTGAATTGTGATTGTAAAATGTAAATAATTCTTGTGAAAAATTACTAGGACAATGTGACAGTCAGTTTCGGACAAAGGAATGCGTTATTAACAATCCAATTATTAAGTTGATTGACTATTTGTAACATTGTTGTTGTTTTCATTCCATGTCACATGAAATTGTGCTGTTACAGCAAAGTGATGCAAAGTTCCAAAATTAAATCAGAAACCTAATATGAAGGGCATGAACATGAACATGATAGATCATGAGAAGTATATAATAAAGTCAAAAAATAAATCCGTTGCATGTGATATAAAGTGTCCTAAAAATGAATAAGCAAATTATACAGTTGGATAGTAGATAGATGCCTTGACTTTGTAGGATTATCATTGGATTTAATGTACTGCCTACCATTTTCAGTCCAAAATTATTCTCTCTTGTGGTCCTCTTTTTTTTACCTTAACTATTTTACTGTGGCTTGGGTAGTTAGGGTTTTAGACCAAACTGTAATTAATTTACCATGATAAGTAAAACAAGCGATGATAAGTGAAACTGTAATTAACTTGCTCATTAACTTGACTCCGTAATACTCACTACGAGCTATAATAAAACATTAGTCATATTGGTTTTCTAAATCATGTCTAAAAAAGATGAGTGGTAACGATTCAGTAATACAACTTTAAACTAATCAACGTTGCATGAAAGTGTCACCCGACTGTACATAATTGCATACTCTATTCCTATCCTGACATGAATAAATAGTCGTATGTGAAAATAAATTAAAGTTAAAGCTACATTCATATGCATTTATTCATGTAACGGTAAACCTTATTGTATGGTTAATAATATTGGTCCCCAAACCTTAGGTTATAATGTTATCTATGTATGGTTGGTAATATGTACTCCATAATGTTATATGAAGATGAACGTTAAAAGAATCCAAGAATAATTATACATACCTGACGTTTGGCAAATTGTTTTAGGAGAGCAGAAGAAGCTACGATTCCGCCACATGGCACTTGGTGATTGGAGTGGCTTAGATAGTTAGAGTAAGCTAGAAGTAGGAAAGATAGGGACGTTACATGTTGCATGTTACTTCCTCCAGTCTTGAAGATCAACCCACCTACAATATCAATTGCAACGATGTATCGATCATGTGTTATTTTATCAGATTTGGTACAATTCATATTTGTTATGTATCCACGAATTGTGCAACACATAGCGTTATGTGTAAATGATACAGAGTATTCCATATAGTATTCATATTAATTGAGTTAACGCGTGTTTATAATTTACCTGGAGAATATTGTACTTGTGGGTGAGCAACACCGGGAATCACTGAACATATGAAATCATCCGCATTGTTCTTGAAATTTTTCAAGTCATCGGCTCTCCCCATCAACACTTCCTATAATAAACAACATACGACCAAAACATTCATGTCAAACTTAGCTTGTTTATGGTAACGTTAAAAAGGTATAGGTATATATTTCTTCTGTTTCAAATTAGTTTTTAAAATATGACGCTATTGAATGACATAATGATGAACATAAACCCCACACTTAGATTATATATTTTAATTAAAAATGACAATTGATAATTAATAAAGTGAAAAAACATAAAGATAAAGGGAACTAAAATAAGTCAAACATAGCTATTATATGAAGCAGAAGTTAATGGCCAGAATGGGAAGCTCTGCATTCTCTACTGCATTTTTCAGCCTTATAGCACATGCATCTGCCAATTATTTCTCCACTATTTTTCCACATAATTACAAAAATAAATACTCATATAATATATAGTAATAATTTTTATATTAGACCAATTGGGAAAATCAACTTTTGGGTAGACAAAGGTATTAATATAAAAAAAAAAATTATTTACAGTAAAATGCACTGTCCTCCATATATCATCACAACATATAACAATGTATTTGATTCAATCAGTTGGTCAGTCCATTCATCACTTCTTTTCATTTTTTTCTTGTTAATTTCAAGATTTTTTTTTATCTAATGGACAAAAACTTTTAGGCACCCAAATTAGTGGCATAATTAGAGCCCTAAAGAAACATAATATGTTCCACAAATGTTGAATTATGTTGACTTTTACATTATTCACGATCAGTAATTTATATGTAAAGAGAAAATATAGTTATTTGAGATTTTGTTAGTGTCATCTTGATAATCTTTTATAATTTTCACATATTGAGATTTAAATATATTAATAGCAAGAATGTTGGAAAGTGTAAAACTTCGCCACTGTGCAACATATATGGAATAGAGAAAGTATTAAAGAATTGGAATTGTAACAAGTTTCTCAACATGTGTTATTAATTGATATATGGGTTGTAAACTACGGAGTAAGGAGTACATAATCTTGAACTAGAAATCTAGAATTTTGATGAAAGAATATGTAGGAAGCAATATAAAATATCATAGTGTGACATTATTGTATTTCTTTTACATGTTGGAAAAAACCAATAATTATGTATTTCACATGTTTAAAGAATCAAAAACTTTACTAATCAAATATTTAAAATTAGAAGAAAACACAAACATAATTTTATGCTTCAAAATCCAAGCTGTACACTTTACACTAAGATCTAAAATCACAATATCACAACTAATATCATGTGCAATCATATCATATCTACATAAATTCTTCTCCTCATATTATTTATATTCGTTCCTTTTGACTATTTTTATAATCGAAGATGTTAATTTCATGATTACAAAAATCTTAGATTAGAAGTAATTGGATAACAAATGGGTTGGGCCCACAAGTTGTAGCCCATAAATAGGGTGGAAAAATTCAGACCCAAACCCGAAACCAAACACAATCAGATAGATATTCCACAAGCACGTGATTGGCTAAGAGTGGGTCCCTCATAATTTAGTTCCCCTATACCCTAAAATTAGTCACAGGACAAGAAGAATAATGTCTCATTACATTAGGACAACAATTCCGTAGGTCCAGCTTGGATTTAGGACTATAATAATTAGTATTCTACTTCAATTAATTAATACGAAGTACTTTATACACTAATATGGAGGACTCGGTAAGAGCGATAAGCCATGGAGAAGGGTGACGTAAAGGTAATGAAATAGACAAGATTCAATCACATATGTATTTTATTGGGGCTATAATGTGTCAATTCGAGTTAATAGGTCAAATTCAATCGGATCTTGTCTAATTTAAGTTTGAGTCATGTGAAATCATAGAGTTAATGGGTTAGATTCAATCAAGTGGTGTCAAATTTAGGTTTGAGTCATATGAAATCATTGAGTGTATGCTGGTTGAATTCTGAATCGAATTAGGTCAAATTAATTCAGTTTTTGACACCTCATTTACAAATTCATACAAGAATATGCTAAAATTACCTTATACTTTAATCAAAGAAATTAAGAATAAAAAAATACCTTGGAAATGAGGACATTGATCCCAGCATGCTTATTATCCCATCCAAATTCATTAATAGTGTCTCCAGCTCTTAATATGACCTCGTTCTTCACTATGTACTCTCTATATTTGCGCCTTCTTGTGGCCTTGTGCAACCATGCAGCTCCCCATAGCAACTCGTCCTGCATATCCCCCCATTCCAAGAATTACATACAATATCATTTTTAATCACCGTCGTCCTGATTTAATTATTACAGAGTACACTACTCATACATTACAACTTTTAATTACATTCTACTCGTACTTTAAATAAATATGACAATTAAATTCGAATAAAGAAATTTGCTGTAGATTATAGATACAACCTTAAGCATTAAATCAGAGATATTCACAACATATTGTAACACAAATCTTTAAATTATCGATATATGCAACTTACAATTATTTAATAACAAATGGAATAAGTAACGATAATAATAACAGGAAAAAGACTTGGAAGTGCCCGAAAAAAAACAGAAAAACGGGAATAAAAGAGTTGACACTTGACATGTACACTACAAGTATACGAGTACAAATTAAGAAGCCTACCTGGTAACCGTTATTATCACAGTAAAACGGGCAAACTGCTCTTTTTAGACTCGAACTGTATGCACCTCGATGTTTGTCTGCGAAATTGAACACCTATTCACACCATCAAAGCCAACTATTATTATCAGATATACGTAAAGAAAAATATAATCAAGTTATTGTGCACCCGAGAACACATAGAATATAACAACAGCGTGTGTTATACATAAACCGACAAGATAATTATGTGCTCGGGTGTAAAGTATAAACTCATAGTTAGATAATTTAGGCAATTTTATTCCCCGCTATTAGTGGCCATGACCAAAAGAGTGAGCCGTTGATTACGCGCCAAAGCAAATTATATTCTCTTGGCTCTATATATTTACTTTGTCCTTTTTTCCAGTTTGTCAGTTTTGTGCAATTCTACTTTTATGTTAGTATCAAGTAAACTTTACTCAAAAGAAAAACAATTATCATGGATTGAAGTATTAATTGGACACTATTAATTTACACTCCGATCCTGATTTAATTATGACACTAATTACTCCATAGTTAGCTAGCTTTGATTGATTGATTACATAATTATATGTCTTCTTGTTTATTTACGTGTTACACTGCAACATTAAATGCTTACAAATAAATTAAAAAGTAACAATTTATTTCCTCTATTCGAATTTAATAATCATGTTAAACTAGTTAAATACATAGATTTTTATAATTCACCATTCCTACATAATGGAATACCACAACAAATCAACCATATGTCAGATATCAAAACATCATTTAATTAAAAAACACCTAGCCAATTGCAATATATTTTAGTAGTCTATGTTCAATTAATTACCAATAACAAATTACAAATTGAGTGTAAAATCCACATAACTTAAAAAAATTACTCCGTAATTAATAAATTAAAGGTGAAATAATGTAATTGGTATACAACTTGTACAATACTTACTTTGATGGCGCGACTAAGGAGCAAACGAGAATAGGCACGATCACGAGACCTAAACACGATTGAGGCAGCAGCCAATGCCGCGGCAGTCTCTCCAGCAACGTCGGACCCTGGATGCTTGCGATCAATGGCATACACACTCCTTAAGGTGTCCATATCCTCGGGCCTCTCCCAACAATTATGGTCTGAGTACGGATCACCAACTTGAACATACATAACGTTTGGTACCTCGACCGTGGCCTTTAAGAGGTAGTCGGTTCCCCAGCGCACTGCTTTGAGCGCGTTGGGGAGCTCACTCCTCATATTTTTACCAAAATCTATCACACTCCATGATAGGAGTGTGACACTAAATGCCATTGGGAATCCAAACTTTATGTTGTCCCCCGCATCATAATATCCACCGGTTAAGTCTTTCTAAAATTATGTATACAAAAAAATTCGTTAATTTTAGTTGGCAAAAGCTAATGAACATCAATGTTGGATAATATAACTAAAAGTAGAAAATAACATTAAAAATTTCATAATGTTAATCTTTTCTACTAGCGTAAGGTATTTATTTCATCATACAACGTATATTAAAAAAAAAAATGCACGACAAAATCCTAAGTATATTAGAAAGCGTGATTAATGTTTAATTTGTCTAAATATTTTCACTTTTAGCACTTACAGTAAATTACATTTCCCTTAAAATATTTATGATTAACATCAATGATTTTAGTCTTAAAGAAGCTTTATTGGTTTTAATTAGCAATTTATGAAAAGAAAGAAAAGTTGGTTACTTTATTTTTATTTATTTAAGTTTTCATTCTGAAGAAGTGACATCAAAACCAAAATGCAGCTATCCTAGGAAGAAAAACTTACTAAATTCAGTAAATTGAGTCCAAAAAAAATTAAATATCATCACCTATATTATTTAATGAAATACCTAGAAAATCACCCGAATTACCAAATAAAAAAAAATGTAGCCATCAATTATGATACATTTTAATAAACTACATTATAATACATGCAATGTTACTACATTGAGTACATTCAGTCCAGCTAGAGATTAAAAATGGCTTGTATTATCGATAGTGTAATTTAAACTAGTAATGCAAGTATGCGACAACTAAAAAAAGAAAGACAAAAACATACACCAATAGAGTGACCGTCACGAAGGGCGGAATCGCGGCGCCAATGAAGGCGTTGATCAGGGGGGAGTTTACCAGAGCGTTGGCCTTCAAAGAAAAGAATGCTCTTTCTAAGAGCATCCATATAATTATGGGCAAAACAGAGGGAAGAGAGAGAAAGAAGAGAGAAAACAATTAAGAGAGAGAGTGTAGAATTTTGCGCCATTTTTTGTTTGTGAGGAAATAAAAGAGAAAGGGTTCAATGTATTTAGAGTGAATCGCTAAACCATGCCCGAGTTGGATTATTTATACAGGGAGAGTATGGAGTGCTAAAATAAGGATGGAAATGTAGGAGTTATGGTGTAGTTGTATAAGGAGAGTTTAATTTCATTGGATTCTTGTGAGAAAGTATGGTTTCAACTGCGGTGGACACGTGGTTAAACGTGAATGGATAAGGTTTTCAATCACTGCTATGGTTGACTGATTCTATTGGTTGTTTGACTCTTTTGTGGGGTTTTGAGTTTGCTTAATTTCTGTTTTAATCCACTTTCTTTTCTTTGGTCCCAAAAAAAAAAAAAAAAACTCTGTAAATAATAAAAAGTTGTTTTTCTGTTTTTTTGGTAGTTATTTTGGCTGATCAATTACGTGTAATTACGAATTTAGGAGTTTAGGACTGCATATATTATAAGTGCAAATTATATCAAAACATGTTTTCGAAAACTAAAAATGAGTATGAGTAATCACATATTCAAATATATCATACATGCAATTTTATGTTTGTCGTTGCAAAACTTATACTAATTTAATCTTTAATTATAATTCTTAAAAATGATTATTGTTTGATTAATTTTGTTTTTAGAAAGCATGCTTAATACAATAGTCTAAATATGATCACATCAATTAGACATGGAAAAACGGTCAATTAGTGCAATTTTATGTCAACATTACTTTTAAGTTGAATTATTTTCAATTTTGAGTCAACAATACCTTAAACACAGCCAAAGTTTTGGGTAACAAGTTAATTAATTTGTTTAGGTGTTTCTTAATGCTCAATATAGCACCTCATATAAACTTACATTAAGTAGGGTTGTGAATAATCTGGGTCAAATTAAGGTTTAATCTGTTTGTACTAATCTTGATACTCTATAAGAATTATTAATGTTGGAGTCATCCTAAGTTTTTAAAAATCTCATTCAAGCTTGATTCATAAAGAGTTCGGCATCCTTTAAGAAATAACCGAAACATGTACTATTGGCTTATACAATCTCATTCGAATCCAAATTTAATGTCATAACTCATTTTTTTTCGGATCGGATATCCGATCGGACTATAATGTGCTAGTTCTCATTCTCATCGGTTCATCAATGATCAATCATCACCCACTCCGTTTTAGATGTAAAGTTTACAATAAATCTAGTTCCTAGAGAACATGGGCCACCGCCATTTGGGAATGCCAACTCACTACACACATTGTAGGTGGACAAGTGAATATCCAGATCGCTATCAACCTTATTTCTATTGTCAGTCTTTCACACCAGTTTCGATCTCAATGTATTGCAAGGAAAACTCATAGTTTTTAAAGTTTGAGTTGCAAATTTACAAGCTCTTAGGAAATTTTTAAAGTTTTTACTATCACTAATATTGGCTGTATTGCTTATATAGTTCAATTCAGAGTGTTTGGAAATTGAGCGCTTTCCCTAAACAAGGTTAGGAATTCGCGTAATTCCCTAAATGCAGCCACTCTTTTATATATTCCCACTTTACCGTCCACGTCACCGGTTCAGTTGGAATTTTTTTTGACCAGTTTTTTTACAAAACCGCTACTTCAAGTAGCGATGTATTGAAGAAAACCGCTACTTGAAGTAGCGGTATACTCAATAAAAACCGCTACTTCAAGTGGCGGTTTATTAAGTGAAAACAATTCACAACAAAAACCGCTACTTGAAGTAGCGGTTTTGTTTTTAGAAACCGCTACTTGAAGTAGCGGTTTTCCCTGGACCGGAAAAAAAAAAACCCGGTTTTTTTACCCAATGCTTACGTGGACGGTAGATTGGGAAAATGTAAAGAAGTGGCTGTAATTTGGGAATTGAGGTTTTTCTTGACATTATTTTGGGAAAGAGCTCTTGGAAATTGGGGATCAACCTTACCACCTACTTCCAAATATCTAACCTGTAAAAACTAGAGAAAAATAAATCGTAAGAGTTAAGATTTGATCAAGGTTTTCCTTACCTTAAAATATATCAAAAATTATTTCATATTTTTGAGTGCAAGGTGCACCAAAAGTTTATTTTACTTATTTGATGATTAAATGAGCAATAATCATTTTGATGAGCAAGAAATATATCCTTTTGTGTACTTAGATATCCAAAAAGTCGTATAATGTACATAATATAGCAATATATCTTTAATTATTTTAATTTTGGTTTAGTTTGAGGTCTTTTAAAATTAGGGGGGGGGGGTGAAGCTTAGATGTACTTTAAAGTTTACACATAAATTTATTTCGCAATTTCAACAACTACTCCATCCGCCCCTTATTTTTTGCCCCATAATCAATACTTGGGTCAAACTTTGAAAATTTTGACCACTAATTCTCATGAATCTATAATAATTAAGAAGTATTATAGTCATGTGTGATTTTATTTGATACGTTTCATTATATATTTTATTAATATTAAGTTTTTATAATTTTTATACGTGCAAATGAAGATATATACGTTTTAAGACACATCTTGAAGACCGTAAAAAGAAATATTTATATTTTTAAGAAGTTGAGCCCAAATTCATGTATGAGCTAGGTCCATATATAGTACACCGATCACATAGCCTCATTACTGACTCACAAAATGGCCCATTGCACACAATTTTCTTTTTCTTTTTTATTTTTAATTTTTTTTTTCACTTTACTACTTAAACTTGATTAATGTGGTTTTAGGTCTCTGATCTTACGAGTTGCAAGCAATTATATGATTATCATTTTACAAGTCCTGAATCTTACAAATATTGATGCCTAGACTATAATACAGAGTATCATTTAATAACTAAATTGGAATTCATTGTAGTATCAATTTGAGTATAACAATCATCTGGTTTAAAATTGTAGATCTCCTCTACTCGTCAATTTTGGTAAGGTTCATCCTCCATGGTTACGGAGTACTATGCAAACCTATATGCATGCACCAACGTATTTGATGCACATGCTCACACCTCAACGACTTTAGCCAAAGCGTGTTATATACATCACATCACAGGGACAATCGGGTAAGCAAGTGTAGCAATATATATTGTATTTTGTGCACCCCAGTATTGCATATTATACACTAAAATACTTGTAAACTGTGAAAAAAAAAATGCAAAGATGGAAGATTGTCAACTTGATTTTACGATAGATGATCATCAACATTGTATATTACGTGTTTACACTTTGTAACACAATTGATGAATTGAATGTTTATATTTGCTCTCCTAGATCTCATTAACCAAACTTGCACATGAAACATCAACATATCATGATGCAAAGGAATCAACTACATCCTGTGAGTTAATCATCAGTAATCTTCCGATCACTAAACATATGCTTATTTCTAAATAATCAGTAATTCCCCTAAGATTTAACCAACAACAATTGCTACAAGCACATCGAAGCAGCTACAACAATGATGATATTCTTTTCACTACCTAGCTAAACCAAAATCATGAAGTGGTTGCACTGGCAGGCACCATCGCAGGCCTCCATGAGTAGAAAAATAATCCCAGCACAAGGATGACAGCACCGGCCACAAAGCCTGGAGGAAGAGCAGTACCAGCACCAAGATACGGCAGAGGCAAAGTGAAGACAAACACAGACAAGGGCACTGCATTCAAATTACAAGGGACATCAGCATATCAATGTCAAAATCTTGAAGACTTTCGTGGAATAAGCAAAAGGTGAATTTTGCATGGTACATGTGATTAGGATTTCCAGAATTAGGTGAACAGAACATCAATGCCTGTTTTAAAGCTTGAACTAACTAATTAAATATGTAATGTGTACCTGAAACTGTAGAGGCAAGGCAAGATACCACTGCTGAGGAGATTTTAAGAAGATGCAGCAAAGATATATTGTAACCCATGTTCACGATAATAAAGAGCAAAGGCAACAAGGGAGCACCATTGCATCCTGCAGAGTAGCCAAAAACACTGACTGTTCAAAAGTTCCTCTCTATAATAGTGTAAGACAAAATTGAACAAAAATTTCATGGACGAGCATTAATTTGGAAGGTTTAAAAAAAAGCAAGTCGCCCAATTTCTACACACTCAAAATTTATATGTACTACTGAAAAGGACAGAAAGGCACAAATTGTCTATAAATCTGCTTCAAAAAAAAAAAAAGAGCATGATAACACTTAAAAGGATAAACTTAAAAGTACCGATTGTTCATAATACCAGAGCAGGAAATAAAAATCAGAGAACTCCATTTAAATTTAAATTCCACAAGACACTCACCACAACCCCCCCCCCCCCCACCCCCACCCCTCCCCAAAGAATATAGTTTACCTCATCCCTATGCATATTTGCTCCCTTGGCCTCTAACAGATGCATAATATGTAATTGATGACCCAAAACTATATTTATGGCACAATAGGAAAATAATTTCTAAATGTATCAGCCTATGGAATTCACAAACATTAATATACTGGTTACTTTGTTAGATATAGTAATATAATAATAAACCAAATAAATAGACAAATTTTGCAAGGGCATGTTGCAAATGGTATAACGTAAAAGAACGATGACTATAAACATTATTTAAGGATCCTGCCAAAGCAGAGTCTGAAAGCATGAGACACCTCACCCCACTTCAAACAAAAAGACTGCTTTCGAAAACACTCCAAGGTAAGAGAGGTGAAAGTTAATTTAGCTGTACCCGTTGAGAGACTGTTGATATTGAGAAAGCATGCTGCTCCATCTTTAAGGTATGACGGAAGTTGATTAAATGGTATGCCCCACAATTTTGACAGAAAGGGTAGGAGAAGGCATATAAAGAGTGCCTGCATGGCGTGAGGAAAATAATTTTAGGTACAGAAATTAAACATGAGCAGTGTAACCCATGGACACCACTTGCGGCACTAAGGATTCATAAAAATGTCTTGATGTTATCAGATACTTACTTGATAAGCAGATCCAAACGAATTTACAACAAATAGATCAACTGAACCTCCCTGTGACAAGGACCAATATTCATTTTTACAATTTATCACAGGATAACAGATAGCAAAAACCTTGGACAAAGAGAAAAAAAAAAAAAAAAGCAGAATTCATTTTTTTCATTGCTTCGCACAGTGACCTGAGGAGCTTGGTGACACTGACACATGCGCAAATATCATTATAATGAAACATGGTTTGGAAGGAAGAAATACGCCTAAAGTAGCTAGTGACCCCCCATGGTTACAAAATCTGTTTGGGACGTTCAACTTAACTTATTCAGTTATTCACTTCATCAAGGACCATTTCTATAATTTATAATATCAAGTGCCAACATATATGGAGTCAAGTATCTGGGTTACTCCCTCA